TTGTTTGAAACCTACAATTGGAAAAACTGAAACCTGAAATAGCAGAATCAAACTTGCAGTACATCAACATTATTAGTGCAAGGAATTAACACACCATCCTGCTAAAAAACTCTGATGTGAATAAATCAACAATTTTCAGCATTTGAAAAACTACAACTCCCTTGAAACAAACTACAAGAAGTGTAAGGTGGTTTCATCAATATCCATAAAACTCACCAACACTCTCTTCTTGTTTCAGTATCTTCTTCGCTGCCCGAAACTACAATGCATCTCATAAAATTTGAATATTTTGGAAAAGTTTTTCATAATTTAATTCAAAAAGTGAAACATTCTAGATTAATTACATGTAGAGTATTTTATCATTTTAATTTCGATGATTATGACTTCAAGGCTCATGAAAATCAAAAATCCAGTATCCCAAAATATTAGAATATTTCCTAAGATCAATCAAAACAGGATTTACAGTACCGAAATGTCCAACTTTTGAAATGTCCATTGATGCACTCAATACTTTAGCACCAATTACTACATAAAATGCAGCATGGCGTGGAGGCAGTGAGCAGGTGGTGGTGCTGAGGTGTTATTGAAGACCAGCTTGCTTTGATAGCAGCCTTCAGCTCATCTGTATTGTTGGGTTGGGTGTTTCTCATCTTCCTCTTGACAATACCCAATACATTCTCCATGGAGTGAAGATCAAGCAAGTTGGCTGAGCAATCGGCACAGGATTATTATGGTCAGCAGACCAGTTAGTGGTAGTTTTGGCACTGTGGGCAGGTGCTAAGTCCTGCTGGAAAAGGAAACTGGCATCTCCATTAAGGTTCTCAGCAGACGAAGCATGACATGTTCTAAAGTCTCCTGGTAGACAGCTACATTGACTGTGGACTTGATAAAACACAATAGGCCAACACCAGCAGATGACGTGGCACCCAAAACACCACAGACTGTGGAAACTTCACACTGGACTTCAAGCAACTTGGATTCTGTGCCTCTCCACTCTTCCTCCCTCCTTGATTTCCAAATGAAATTCAACATTTACTTTCATCTGAACAGAGGACTTTGGACCACTGAGCATCGGTCCAGTTGCTTTTCTCCTTAGCCCAGGTCAGATGCTTCTGACGATGTCTTTGGTTCAGGAGTGGCTTGATACTGGGAATGCAGCAGTTGTATCCCATTTCCTGAAGCCCTCAGTGTGTGGTGGCTCTTGATGCACTGACTCCAGCCTCACTCACTTCCTTTGAAGCTCTCCCAAGTTCTTGAATCAGGTTTGATTGACACCCTCAAGGCTGTGTTCATCCCTGTTGCTTGATGTTCATCTTCTAGACAACTGTCAAGTCAGTAGTCTTCCCCATGATTGTGGTTGCATGGACTGAACTAGTTGAGATGCACAGTGTTTATACTGTATGAATAGTAATTTACCCAAATGAAATACTCTAATGTCTAGAGATAATGGATTTTTTTGTTTCATTAGCTGTAAGCCATAATCAGTGAAATATTTCACTTCACATGTAATCAGCCTAGAAAGTTTCACTTTTTAAAATTATTAAAAAAAAAAAAACATTCCTACGATATTCAAATTTTTTTGAGATGCATTTGTACATCCAGTACAGCCATTTGAACATGCAATCTCCTGCTCTGTCAAACTGTGATGTTTAGCTTGTGAACGATGAGGGCTAACTTAACACGTACTGACTAAACAATGATATTAAATCGCACAAGATTCTGTTTTAAAAAAGGACTTTTGGTTATTAGCATAGTTACAAATGTCAAAGTGATTTTTTTCAAAGAGATTCTCTTACATCTACAACTCTGTATAATCTATACCCTGTCAGTTTCAATAATGTGTTGTTTTCTCTTTCCTTTTGTTGACAGAGGGCCCTCTCAAGTTATTCTGTAAGTTGACTTTTATTATACTCAAACACCTTGACATCAGTCTGTCCTGTTTCCTCCTCCATCACCTATCTCTACCAGCACCCATCCCCCATCACCCGGAAACCTCCCTCTTCCATCAACATTTAAGCAAATTGTTGATATCACTGTGTTCAAACTAAAGATGAAGCACATTTCAGAAACAACATCAAAACAAACTCAGAACAAAGATGCAATCAGCACAGGTGTCCCCGCACATACAAAAAGTCAAATCAAAGTAGATAATAAATATTACACACAAAGTCACAAAGCCATGTCTCTGAGTTAATGTTTCTGGAACAGAAACTTTTTATTTATCCTTTGTGGACTTGCAGAGCCAAGAGGAAAACGTGAAGGAAAAGAACAGTTCTGAGATCAATCTGAGCTGCCACACATCAATACCACAAAGTGTTGATTTTTCCAGGCTCAAAGATGTTATAAGTTTCATCCTAGGACTGTTATCATGCCACTTTATAACGTTTTGATGTTTTTCAGGTGAGGAAGTCACGGCTTAGATTGAGATTATGTGGTCAGTTTATCAAAGTAATGCTGATTTGTAAATTTTCTCTGACATTTTCAGAGATGCCAGTACCTGCTAGCAGACCAGCTAGTTATAATTAGAAGGCAGCTACATCTCATTCAGAGCAGTCTGATAGTAAGGACGCCGGTGTTACAATTGTATATTGAGAATACTGCATCTCCTTGTCCTCAAGAGTTTGAATTTACCAAGTACAAACTCGGGAGTCCAAACTTGGCATTGAAAAATGCCCTGTTTCTCATTCCTTACCTGTCTCCCTCTGTACCTGTCTCCCTTCTCATCTTTATCTCTCTGTATCTGCCTCACTGCTCACTGGTGTCCCTGCTCATCTGTCTCACTGCGTTCTGCAGCGGTGAAGATAAAGAAACCGATCCAGACCAAGTTCAGGATGCCGGTGTTGAACTGGGTTGCTTTGAAGCCAAGTCAGATCAATGGGACCGTCTTCAATGACATCGATGACGAGGCCATCTTGCAGGTAAAACACAAAGACTTTATTAAGAGTTGTGTTACAATGTGATGTTCACAGTGAAGGCAAAAATAACACCTCCTGAAAACAGTCAGTGAAAGCTGCCAAAAGAATTTTAATCCACACTGAGCCCAGTTTCACATCTTTACAGAAAAATGTGTTACCGAAGAAATACTTCTCCCAGTGAAGAAGCTGAACCAGAGTCAGCTCCTCCCACAGGTCAGAGTGACATGATCCAGCAAGGTGTTGCTTTGGCCAGTCAAAAACCTGCAGGTGCATGTTCCTGGTGGTTGACCTTGTGAAAAATAATGGCTTACGCCAAACTCACAAATTTGACATCGCGGACATCAAAAGCATTATTTCCAATAAAGGGAGCAGCTGTTCCTTTCCCACCAGGCTTTGTGGCAAATGTTTTACTAAAACTGAACTTTGACACCAAACATGGGACAAGCTGAAGTTATACTGGTGATGATTTTAGAGTCAAGAATATGGTCTCTGACTTTCAGCCGTCATGATCCCATCACAACCTGAGCGATGACAGAAACAGTTAAAAATGGCTGATGCTGTGCTTGTTTAGTACACTCAACATGTTAATCCTCATCTTTCATTAACAAAAACAAAACCAGGAGCATTTAATGCTCTTAGCCTCACGTCCCATAGCATCACAGTCAGGGTACCCCCATCACTTCTCACCTGTAGATCACTGCTAGAGAAGCTAAGATCTGCTAGATCGCCGAGACTTGATGAGTGTCCACACTGGGAAACAGCGACAGTGTGTGGTCTTACAAAGGAAGTAATAACTGCAGGTGCTTTAATGTTCTTCATGCTGCTGATGTGTTTCACTATAAGGACACTATAGGACTCATTATCATGCACGACAAATGCACATAAAATCAAGCTTCTTTTATAATCTCCCCCTGTCTGTCTCTCTCTCTGTACCTGTCTCCCTCTCAGGACTTGGATGTGGAGGAGTTTGAGGAGCTGTTTAAGACAAAGGCTCAGGGTCCGGCGGTGGACTTGACCCTGTCCAGACAGAAGCTTCCTCAGAAAGCACCATCCAAAGTTTCTCTGCTGGAGGCCAACAGAGCCAAAAACCTGGCGATCACTCTGAGGAAGGCTGGCCAGGGCTCAGAGGTCATCTGTCGAGCCATCCACACGTAGGTCTACATCTCCCAGTATCTCTACCATTAAGAAAAACACACACCAGGATCAGTGTCAGTAACAACATGCGTTTTGACAGTGTAAAAACAGACAGGAGGCAGAAGAGTCCGACTCAGCTTTGGCTCAGCGCCGTTACATATGGGTTAGTGTTACCTAGTCTTACCTAGCTAGTGTTATTTAGTGCAGCCATCAGATGTGAGCCGGATCTGGACCAAACCAAGCTGCCTGGTTTAGTTTGAAGCAATAATCACTGTGTTGACACCCAGAAGGGCTGATACTGTTGAGTCATTCACTAGTCTGTCAGGTAAGTCCATCAGACAGGTGTGGGCAGGCTGCTTACTGGCTACCTGGGAGCACATACTGTAGTATTAGGAAGAATGTGTCCTGTGTCAGATCTAAATGCCACTGAACACACTGGTTCCTATTTGTGCAGGTTTGACCTGCGGACGGTCCGGGTCGACTTTGTGGAGTGTCTGATGCGTTTCCTGCCAACAGAAGCCGAGGTGAAGTTGCTACGACAATACGAGAGAGACAGAAAACCTCTGGAGGCTCTGAGTGATGAGGACCGCTTTATGATGCAGTTCAGTCGCATTGAAAGACTCAGTCAGCGCATGTCGATCATGACCTTCATGGGCAACTTCAATGACAATGTCCAAATGTTAACTCCAGTAAGACAAACAACTAGAGACAAACAAGGGTGCTGACAGACAGACAAGTAGATGAGATCTATCTCACCATGTTGTGTTTCCTCTCAGCAACTCCACGCCATCATTGCTGCTTCAGTTTCTATAAAGTCATCTCAGAAGCTCAAGAAGATCCTTGAGGTCAGTCTGAGCATTAAAACCTATCTATATAATCTGATTATGTTTGTAAATCTATAATGAATCACACTGAATTTATTCTTACCTGATCTTATTCTTATTGTTACTGTTGCTGTAGATCATCTTGGCTCTGGGGAACTACATGAACAGCAGTAAGAGAGGAGCTGTGTACGGATTCAAACTGCAGAGTTTAGACCTGGTAATACACATTTTAATTTTATTTAACCAGGTAAGCCTCACTGAGATTGACATCTCTTTTTCAATAGTGAACCGACCAAGAGGGCAGCATACATATACACAAACACATTCACATGTGTACTGAAACCAGGATGTTCAGATAGTAAAGCCACAACAGCCAGTCAGCTGTCAGCATTAACAATTCGTTTGTTAGACTTGCTAATGGTTGACCAGTTGGATTAGGTACAAGTCATCCTGAATGTATACTCAATGGGAGTTTGGTTCCAACTCAGTGGTATTATTGAAACTGTTTGTGTTTTTAGCTCCTGGAGACAAAGTCAACAGACAGGAAACAAACGTTGCTTAATTACATTGCTAACGTGGTGAGAGAGAAGTATCCTGCAGTGTCGCCGTTTTATAACGAGCTTCACTACGTCGACAAGGCTGCTGCAGGTGAGAGCCAGACAATCAGAACACTGCAGACACAGACTTCATGGCACTCACCTGTATGTTTAACTGTGTTTTAGTGAGTCTGGAGAACGTGTTGTGTGATGTAAAGGAGCTGCAGCGTGGCATGGAGCTCACCTGGAGAGAGTTCAGTGTTCAGCACAACGCCACGCTGAAAGACTTCATCAGCATCACGACTCCAAAAACTGCAGGAAGATGCACGCATCGCTCAGGTGAGAAAACAGACACACAAAAATCTGCTATGTTCAACATTTGTAACAGTTGTTTATGTAGGTGTCTGCTAATTATGTTTGTGGTTCATATGGATGTTTTGGGCATTGCCAAACATTCCCTGAGACTTTCGTACTGAACAAATTAAAATATTTTAATTTAACATTTTTTTTAAATGTTACTGAGATGTTAATAAAACAGAAGAATGTTTCCTCTAGCCAGTTTGTCATGCATTCCTTTATTCCAACATTGCACATAATTACAGTATAATACAATCCTAGTATTTTAAAACTGAGATTAATCATGATTCATCACAGCCTATGACTGCGATTAACTCAATTATTTTTTCGACTGACAGCACTGATATACTTATTATAGATCCCAAATGTATAAATCCTGCTACTGGAAAATCATTTATTTCAAACATTAGGTCAACTCTGTTCTAAATACATTCAAACCAATGTTGATGATAATTTGTTTGGACCCAACTACACTGTAACCCAATTCAATGTATTTGTATAGTGCCAAACCACAACAAACTATTGTGTCAGGGCACTTTAAATAATCAGGTCTAGACCTTAGACTGTTAGACTGTTATAAGGAAATTCTAACAAATCCCCCTTGAGCAGCCTTTAGTGATCACTTGTTTTGACTGGACTCAATTCAGGATGCGTTTGAAGACGTGGTGAAGTTTTTTGGTGAGAGCTCAAAGACAATGCCACCATCTGTCTTCTTCCCGATCTTTGTTCGCTTCATCAAAGCATACAGGGTGAGTAAACCTGAAGCTCCTCCTACTATAAATCAGTTTATATCGGAAACAGATTGGGAATCAGAGCTGTAAAATGTTAAAACAAGTTGAGAAATTGTTGTGTGTTTGTTGACATGTGTTCAGCTGGCCGAGGAGGAGAATGAGCAGAGGAGGCGTCAGGAACAGATGTTGTTGGAGAAGCTAGAGCAGGAGGAACAGCAGCAGGAGGAGGAGACCAAGGTGAGACTGACCTCCTGCACAGTTGCAACACCTGAGAGATGGGCAATCACATCACCATCTGAACACGCTGTCATTGGTCAATGCAGTGCCTGGGTATAACAGACTCTTAGTAAGTTTAGAAACTGATGCTTTAGCACAGATTGACAGTTATAGTTTGAAAGTATGAAAACACATACGACCTGGGATTCAGAAAAATGTGCTTCTGTAGAAGAAGAAGAAACGTGGAACTAATTTTGTATCTAATCTCATCTACACATGACCAGTGAAAGAAAACTCATGAAAAAAAATGAGTGGGAATAATAAGCGCAGGGGTCACTGATTAATCTGCCAATTATTGTCTGGAAGATTTGATTTAGATTTTTTTTTTTTTTTATTCACTGAATGTCACACATTGGGGGAAGATGCCCATTTTGACTTTCCAGTCAAAGGCGGTGTCTTCAAATGTCTTGTTTTGTCCAAAATGTTCATGAATCTGTTCTGGAGACACTTGACTAAAACATCTCTGTTGGTCACTGTACGCTAGTTGCTTTCAGTTGTCACCCATCTGTATTTTACTATAGGATAAGAGTTAGAGCGAGCAGCTATAAGACATCTGCTTTTGTGTCAGAAACAAATCTGAGATCATGTTTATGATTCCATGACATTCCATGTCCCTGGGGACATGGAATGTCACCTCGCTGGTGGGAAAGGAGTCCGAGCTTGTGCGGGAGGTTGAGAGGTACCGGCTAGAGATAGTCGGGCTCACTTCCACGCACAGCTTGGGCTCAGGAACCTAACTCCTTGAGAGAGGCTGGACTCTCCACTACTCTGGAGTTACCCCCCGTGAGGGGCGGGGGGGCGGTG